GATACTGTAGGTTTTTAGTGATACATTGATAAAGAAGAAAATAAATCACAGCATTTGCGTTCTCCTATGATGCCAAATTGCTAGTCACTTTCTTGGAAAACTATCAGCTGAAGCAGAATATGCATGTATTTTATATAATACAGATATATATACAATTATATAAATTATAAATTTATATACTCATATCTATTTGCATTGATAAGATATGACTTTTATTTATATGTTTTATGCATGAAATTGAATAATTTATGGATATTTCACTTGAGATTTGTTGATAAGTTTGTAAGCATCTTATGCTAAGCCAGTACTCTTAATGTTTTGGGTGCATAGCACGCTATTTCTAAAAACAGAAAAAAAAATACCTTCATGATTAACTTTATCTATGATGGTTTATTTATTTTTATAAAACAAACTAAACCATTTCATTTGGTCCTGTGGTAACTTTTTTATTGTTAAAGCCCCAGATTGCTAAGAATGTTATTTTATAATATTCAACTATAACTTTTTACACTATTTCCTAGTCTTTGAGGATTTTCAGATGTGATGCTCTGAGAATTTTTAGATATAGTGTGGACTTTTAGAGAAATAAATTGCCTGTAGTGCTTTGCAAAGATATAATTACATCAGGGCTTCATAAACTATGAGCTTAATGGAATTATTGCCATGTAATTTTCTGTAGGTTGTTTAAATTGTCTGCAATTTATTCCTGTAAAATTTCTGTAATTTAGCACTCTGTAGGTTGTTTAACAGTTTATAATGCTATATTACATATGGTACATGTTTTAAAGTAGCCAAAGCAGCAGTGGGATAAAAATAAATGTCTTCACCTAAGCCGTTCTGGCAGAACCGTAATTTTTATTTAAATTAATGTAAATTTGCATTAACAAATTTAAAGACAGAATTTACAATCATTGAAGATATAAATTTCTGTTACAGATGAGAGAGATGAACAAAGCTCACTCACGGGAACTGAGTAAGATTTTTTAAGGCACAAAGAAGCTTCTTAGAAATCTTTCTTCATGGTCTCCTAAAAGTTATTTTGGTTATTTAAAATGCATTGAGAGTGATTTTTTTTCCCTCAGGAGGATATCTTAAAGAAAATGAAATTATGGCTCAAGAGAGGGTTTACAATTTTCAAGAAACTCTTCACTGATCCGTAATAATGTTCATTAACTCAATTTACAAACCATCTTTTACCAACCTTTATGTTTTATAATATATATAATGCATTATAAATACATATATACATTTATAATACATATAATGCATTATAAAACATATATTTATATATGTTGTAGATACATATATAATACATTATAAAATATAAAACCTGGTAAAATATTGCAGATTAAAATTTTATAAAACGAGACATTTCAAACATCTTTGAAAAAAGAAAAGCAGAAATAAAACTTTATGATTATCAACATCCATTGGAAGTGTTCCCAAGGATGGAGAACTAAAAGGGAGTTACTAGCAAATATGTATCTGTTGTGATTAAGAATACAGAACTAAACTACAATTTTAAAATCTGACTCCACCACTTAATAAATGTGTGACTTTGGACAAATCAATTAATCTCTCATGCCTCTGTTTTCTCACCTATGAAAGGGGAGCAATAATACATCTAACAATATTGGGATGAACTAGGATATTATCCAGTATCGGTCAACTCCCCAAATTCAGTGATTTACAAATAAATTTTACCTCTCATTCATGCAAAACTTGCTTTAGGTTCATACAGATCTCCAGAGCAAGCCTCAATCTCTCAGTTGGCTCAGAGATTTCAGGCTGCTTGAATCTTATACTACCTTCATATAGACAGTTTCCTCCATGCTATCACTGAGAAGGAGAAATCAGGCAGACCCAAGCATTAGTTCTTGCTGGCTTCCACCTCTTATTAGATGACAATGATGATTATTGTAAAGTAGGCAGGAAATAAAATAGAGATAAGGTTAACTGAACTTAAAAATTATATCATTTAATTTTAGAACAGGAAAAGTCTCTAAAAATAATCCAGTCAAATCCCTCACTGTGCTTTGAATGTGTCCCCCAAAGCTCATGTGTTGAAAAGTTAATACAAGTGCAAGAGTCTTGGAAAGTGGGGCCTAAAAAGAGATGATTCGATCACGAGGGTTCTGCTCTCATGAGTGAATTACTGCCATTACCTCAGAAGTGGGTTAGTTACAGAAGGTGGGCTTGTTATAAAAGTGAGACCATGTGCAGAGGCTCACGCCTACAATCCCAACACCTTAGGAGGCTGAGGTGGGTGAATCACTTGAGGCCAGGAGTTTGACACCAGCCTGGGCAACATAGTGAGAACCTTGCCTCTAAAAAATAAAAATAAATAAAAATTTAAAAACTGTGCATGGTTGCTTAAACCTGTAGTTCCAACTACTTGGAAGGCTGAGGCAGGAGAATCACTTGAGCCCAGGAGTTGGATGATGGTGCCACTGCACACCAACCTGGGTGACAGAGCAAGACCCTGGATCTTTATTAAAAAAAAAAAAAAAGAAATGAGTTCAGCTCCTTCTTTCTCTCTTTCTTTCATTCATGCTCTCTTGCCCTTCTACCTTCTACCATTGGATGATGCAGCAAGAAGGCCCTTACAAGATGCTAGCACCTTGATATTGAATTTCCCAGCCTTCAGAACTATGAGAAATAGTTTTTTTCTTTATAAATTTCACAGTTTGTGGTGTTCTGTTTTGGCAACCCAAAACTGACTAAGACGCCTCTTTATTTTACAGATGCAGAAACAGACACCTAGAGAAAGTACTAGAATTTTTGCCCTAGGTTACCTATCCTGCAATAGCAGAGTCTAAAGTTAAATTCAGATGTCTCTACTAGCTCTCTCCTGGCTGCAGTTCTACTACCAACCTTTGGAAGTGTGCTAAACATTCTTGTTTCTTCTGTAATATCCTAAAGAACAGTACAATATGGTGATTAAGTATCTCTTTTCCTAATTTATATTTAACGGAAAACCCAGAAACGATAGTAATAATAGAGGAAATGTTCTCAGACCTGAAATGGTACTACAGTAGCTATTATTAATTTCTATTCATTGCATATTAACAATCTGAGACTTACTGCCCAAACTAACTGAAAATGCAGGATTCAGTACCATATTGAAGAATAATATTTTTGCCATAGCAAGGAAGAATAAGGTTTGTGAGAAGAGGCAGAATGGCATGTCAAACTTTGAAGTCTTCAAAAATAAGATTTGTTTTTCATCATGCTTTCTGAATCAATGTCATTTTAAAATGAATGTATGTCCAGCCTTTCTTACTCACACAGCCCTACACAGTCTATACTATCAGTAGGGAGAGCTAGAGTGCTGACCTAGCTGTTACATGTGGTTTTTGTTTCCATTTGCTGAGTGAGGGGGAATATCAAACAATCAACATATCAAGATAAGTGAAATACCTGCTGTGTTTATTGAAGGGTGTGACTGGCAATGACTAATGCAATCATTTTCTACTAGAACAGATCCAGGTTCAAAATGATACTTCAGTTATTTCTAAAATGAAAAGAATGATTGCAGTTCTATTACTACTTCTAGTTATTAAATCATTGTCATATCAACTGTTTCCTTTCCCTTCCCCTGTTTCCATTTAGACCTCCAGCACTATGTGGGAGAATGCAACCATTTGGTCATGAGGCTGAGCTGAGAAGAATGCTACCCTACAGCATACTGGGAAATGCTGGACCAGAAGTACTTCTGTTCGTTACTTCTTTGCTAAATCACTCATCTTGCAAAATTGACCATTCAGAGATACAAACTATTGCATGTCCCAAATACTCTGGTTAAAAATGTAGAGTGATCTTCCTTTTAGGTCCTGTATAATATCATCGGACTTTATGGAAAGTTAGACATATCATTTATTCGAATGACAGCCTGCTTACTTGATGCCATTGACAGAAAATAAATAGCTATAAATAAATGTCTAAAGCTAGTGTGACTCTATCCAAAGATTCTGCATAATCCCATTTAGAGTAATGAGAACTACAACGATAATCTTAAGTACACTAATTTTTTAAAAGAAATCTCCTTCATCTTATTCTTATACATGGCATTGATTATATTCTTCCTCCATTGGATTAAGAAGCAGGAAGTCTAGATAAGAATAAAAGCAGTCCCTTCGTTACTGGAGTAGCTTAGACCTCTCACAGGTGATATTTGTAGTTCACATCAAGCCTGAGCAAGTATTTGGACTAGTTTTACATGTTGAAACCAAAGGGGAAGCTTAGCAAGGACATTGTTTCTTGCTTTGAAAGAGGCAGGCTAAGATATATGTGTATCATTTTGTTCACACACTGAACTCCCCTCCCTTTTTTTCCTGCTTCTCTCCTGCTTGGAGCTGACTCCTCCTTCCTGCAGCTCTGAGGATCACAGGCTGATTGAAGAACACAGCAGTTCAGATGGAATTCTGTGCACAAGCTCCCTCTGACTGGCTCACGCTCGCCCTCTCTCTCTCTCTCTTTCTCTCTCTCTACCTTCAAAGCTGAAACCTACCTGACAATCTCCTGCCTTTGAATCCAGCTCTGCAACCAAATGCATCATTTTACTGCTCTTAAAAGTGAACAGAGTTTGATTATCTCAAGCGACAAGCTGCTTTGCTCCATAAGAAGAACCCCAAAGGATCCAGACATCATTGGTTTTCAATGTACCTGAAGAGTTGTTTTTTTGTGGGGTTTTTTTTTTTTCTTTATTCCCTGAAACTTGACGGTGGGAAGGAGTTTTCGCTTTGTTTTTAGTTGGAATGTTGAAAAGTTGTTTGCTCGGGTTTTTTTTTTTTTATGCTTGAAATGGAACCTAATTTTTAAATATAGCTTGAGTCAGATCTAAAGGAGACACGCCTGACCATTTCCTGCAGGACTGACCGGGAGAACATCTAGAGGGGAACTTGGTAGGAGAAATGAAATCTGATTTGCAGCAGCCAGTCTTTCTTTTGAGAAAACTATCAGACTTATTGATAAGATAAATTAAATATTGACCAAGGACAATGTCTTTATTTCTCAGTAACTTATCAACAAATGACTCTAGCCTGTGGAAAGAGAATCATAATTCTACGGACCTTTTAAATCCGCCAGGAACTCTGAATATCTATCTTTTTTGCTTGACATGTCTCCTGACTTTTGCAGCCTTGGTGGGCAGCATTTATTCACTAATTTCACTGCTGAAGATGCAGAACAGAACTGTTGTGTCCATGCTTGTGGCTTCCTGGTCTGTGGATGATCTCATGAGCGTCCTGTCGGTGACCATCTTCCTGTTTTTGCAGTGGCCAAACGAGGTCCCCGGTTACTTCCAATTTCTATGCACCACATCTGCCTTATTGTATTTATGCCAGGGCCTCTCTAGCAACTTGAAGGCGACTCTCCTAGTCTCTTACAACTTTTACACGATGCACAGGGCTGTGGGGAGCCAGACAGCCTCCAGAAGATCGGGCCAGGTGCTTGGCGTGGCGCTGACCGTGTGGACAGCCAGTCTGCTGCTCTCGGCGCTCCCGCTGTGCGGCTGGGGCGCCTTCGTGCGCACGCCCTGGGGATGCCTGGTGGACTGCTCCAGTTCCTACGTGCTGCTGCTCTCCACCGTGTACGCTTTGGCCTTCGGACTCCTCGTGGGCCTCTCGGTCCCACTTACATACCGATTGCTGTGTTCTGAGGAGCCGCCGAGACTCCACGCCAACTACCAGGAAATTTCCCGTGGAGCTTCAACTCCTGGAACCCCTCCTACTGCGGGGAGAGTGGTTTCCCTGTCCCCAGAGGATGCTCCCGGCCCGAGTCTGCGGCGCTCTAGGGGATGCTCCCCGAGCTCAGACACCGTGTTTGGACCGGGTGCGCCCGCTGCCGCTGGGGCTGGAGCCTGCAGGCGTGAGAACCGGGGAACTCTCTACGGCACCAGGAGCTTCACCCTGAGCGTAGCGCAGAAGCGCTTCGCTTTGATCCTAGCACTTACAAAAGTCGTCCTTTGGCTGCCCATGATGGTAAAAGTGCAGTTGCTCACAAGGCGCGAGTGTGGGTGCCAGACAGTGTAAATGAGTGTCGGGACCGGTGTCGCTGGTTTGGGGAGTCACCAAGAGACACACAGTGAAGTCCACTTGCAAGTGTCTCTCGCTGGGTTTTAGAGATGCACTTAGATAGAGGAAGACAGTCCGGGATAGGGCTAGTTGGCCGCAAAACCTTTGCTACTAAATGCTTCTCCTTTCAAAAGTCAGGGGCGTGGAGATCGCTTTCCGTCGCGAGCGGCTTAGTTTTCCATATTGGTGGTGGCCAAGGATATTGTCTTACACAGCAAAACCTGAGAGTATTCAGAAAAGGAGAAAGGGAATTAAAAGGTTTTTTCCCTTCAACCTTCTGTCATCCCTTTCTCGCCGTTCCATTCCCGCCTAGTAAGGACGACGCCCATCCTCAGCAGGGAGGGATAGAGGGGAGGAGAGATCAGTTGTGGAGGGAGAAGACAGGGGACAAAACAGGCTTTTGTTCCTCCTTCTAGGAGGAAGCCTATTAAAAGGTGGCAGAGTGGCGCCCCGCTGTGACGAGCGCGCATGGGCGGAGGTGAGGGTCCAGGGAGGCGACAAAGACCATTCGGAGAACCAGATGCAGGTTTCCCGGACGCCTGTTTCCCAGCTAGCGTCCTCCACGTTGTAGACTGTGCCTTTCTGGTGGAGTCTTGAATAGGCAGCGGGCGCAGACACGGCACTCAAAAGCAGAAACTCCTCCCAATCCTGTGCTGTCTGGCGTAGCGGGGTGCGTCCCGCCGTTCCCAACAGCCCACCACCAAGGACAGGGCGCCAGCTCCGTAGCAGAGCTCCCCTCTCTCTGTCAATCAGGAGAAGGAACTGGAAAGGGAACTGAGGCAGCGTGCGTGGAGAAAAGGCTTGGGAAGTACAAAGTATAATTTTAGGTTAGGTCTGAAGTTCTCTTGCCCTTGCAGATGTACATGGTGGTCCAGAACGTCGTGGGGTTTCAGAGCCTTCCCTTGGAGACATTCAGCTTTCTACTTACCCTGCTGGCCACCACTGTAACCCCAGTGTTTGTCTTGTCCAAACGCTGGACCCACTTGCCCTGTGGCTGCATCATCAACTGCAGGCAGAACGCATACGCAGTGGCATCCGATGGGAAAAAAAGTAAGTCCTCAACACCGCGGTGATTGGCAGCAATACTCGTTCAGTGACTTTCAGAAAAGTAGTCTACTAACAAAGCTGCCTCAGTAGGGAATGGAGAGTCCAAGGATAAATGTAAGTGGTAAATAGTGAGAGGAAATTATGAAACAATCACTACCACAGTTTGGGGGTAGATTTTAAATGAGGCTGATTTTGAAAAACCCCATGAACTGCTGTGGCACTGAATAATTATTTTAAGTAGGGAAAAAAAAAAAAGAAAGAAAGGAAAGACTAGAATTCATTTAACACATCATGTCAACAAAGGCACTTAGATGATGTATTCACCATAGTTCTTAGTCCAGAATAGAAAACAAACTCCTCTCCCAAGTCTAGAATGAGAGGCAGCATTGCCATAACAAGCTTGAATTTGAAAAAGGATTATTAACCCTCTGAAAGGAGTTGAAAACTCATTACACTATAACCCATTATTATGCAATCGAACAGTAAAGAAAGACATTTTTGTTGTTTTACTGCTTGTATTCTTCCAGGGTTTTGGAAAGTTTTCAGAGTAAGGAATCAAGAGTGCTTGAAAACAGTTCCAAAACAAATTGCAAGTGTAGGCCTCTCTCTCTCTCTCTGTCTCTGTCTCACATAGGCACACACACACACACACACACACGCGCGCGCGCGGGTGCCCTGGACCAAACACAAAAACAAACAAAACCCTCAGTTTAAAAAAAAAAAAGACACAAGTGACAGTTTGTTACTGTGTGTTCATGTATGAATCTAGCCAAGTTATTTACTTAAAGAAGATTCTGTGTTCTGAAGAGTACACCTAGAATGAGAGTGGAAAGTAGGGTCCATTCCAGAACTCCGTACAGTGTAATTGTTCCCATATTCTACGACAGGAAAAGTGTTGAGGAGTGAGCTGTATATTTTGACTCTGCCAGGAAGAAAAAGGATATTATTGTATTTTTCCAGACAGAATATAGGATGTTTTATCACTTAATAAATCTGAGAATGCATGAGTGTATGCGTGTATTAACTGTCCTATTAATTGTCCTTTGCTCAGATCATGCACAGTATATTATTATTTAACAGAGATGAAGGGATAAATAAAAAACAGTCCACTCAGGGCTATTTTAGGGTTGCAAAATCTGAGAATAGGATGTTTTATCACTTAATAAATCTGAGAAATGCATTAGTGTATGCGCATTAATGCCTATTAATTGTCCTTTGCTCAGATCATGCAAGTATTATCATTATTTAACAGGAGGATTGAAGGATAAATAAAAAACAGTCCATCCTCGGCGTAGGGTTGCAAGAACCTAAGATATCAAAAGTATACTCTGCAATTCAATTAACAACCAAAGTTATTTGCATGTAACTTAGCCATGAACTGGCCATTTTCTTATGTCGAAATGATGGCATTTAAAATTTTAGAATGTCTAGATATTTTCAAATGACCAGAAAATTTTTATTGTTAAGAATGTCATTAGGTTTTTATAGTAGCTTAGATGACAGATGCATTTTCTTTAAAATAACCTTAGAACTTATAATAATGATGGTTCTCTAAAAGTTAATATCAGCAGCCCAACAGTGACAGGGAAAATTAGATAATAAACCCTTTATGGGCCACTTATAAAGACATGTACATAAAGGAAACAATTCACAAGCCTTCAAACCTAACATTGAATAAATCTTAGCATTTTGCCCACTTAAACTAGGTAAACCAGGCCCCAGGTTTGCAGACATCTAAGAAATTGGTGAGCAGGGGATGCAGTCTAGTGTCAGTGAAAATGAAAAGTCTTAGTGAATTGGTTGGGAAGGCAGTCATTTTTTAAGAAGGTGGGGGACGCATCCATCTCCAGATCTGAAACAAAGGCAGACAACAGACTATATTCATTGTACATGACCTATGAAATATTCTACTTTCTGTACTGCACAGACAGAAGAGTCTTATGGCAGGCTAGCCGAATCAACAGTCACACTCATATCACAGTTTGAAATTAAAAATATGTCTTTTGAGATCAAAATAATATTTTTTTCTAAAATTACCATTGCTTTTATTTGTGTTTATTTTTAAATTCCAAAGAAGGACTTATATGAAGGCTTATAAAAAAAGAAGCCATGGCTTCACAAATAAAACATTGTGATAAACTTTAAGATACTTATAGTTCAAACGATCCATTCCCCCCATGATCCAGGCTGTGATATCAGAACTTTCTGATAATAACAGTGATGTGTTTCTACTGTCTGAGAAGCCACCATCAATTTTGCTATTGCTAGTATAACACAACAAAATTGTTAAAACCCCAAACATAGCACATCGCTTAGGTGGACCAGGTGGTTGATCAGCTAGAATATCTTAATTCTTCGAGGTTTCGAGTTTTATGTTAAACTTTTTGTCATGTAACAAACTAAGATTCCCTCTCTTTATATCCTTTATCAGTCAGCGAACTCAGAAGCAAGGGGAGAAAATTATATTTTTTTCCTAACATATTTATCATAGGTTAATTTTGAAGATGTAAATATAATTATAAATCTCAACTTCACTAAATGGGAACTGAGGAGATGTGCAACCAGAAAATGAATGTGAGCAGTGGAAAAATAATTGCAGAAATAATAATCTTCTCCTGTTTCCAACAAGAATCTTTACTACTGTGTCTCAAAAGTGTTTTTGTTTTTTTTTTTTTTTCAAATGATTTTAACATAGAGGTCTCAGGCAGTAGACATATTGGTTGGATAAAGCTATCAGACCCATTTTGTTTGCCTGGACATGATGTTTTTTAAACAGTTAAATGTCCAAATACATTATATAAAAAATAGATTTTTGATCTTTATTTTTTTTTGGACAAACATGATAGTATCTGGTAAGTGATATTACTCTGAAAGAATGATTTTTTTTTACAAGTTGGTGTAATTACTCACATCTAAAATTGTAATTGGCAAGATGTGATTAAAAGCAGAAGACTAGAGCTAATTCATGTTTTATCGAGGATTTTGGAAGAATAAAGATTTTGCTTTTAAGAACAAAAAATTATATTTATTTTTAAGATGTTTAGTATAAATTTCAAAGGATTCTGGACAATATTCTGATGGCTTTTAAGTTTCTTGAAAATTACTAATCAATGAAAGATCTCTGACTTTCACAGACAGAAATACAAAATACAAAAAATACAAAATAAATACAAAATACAAAATACACAAAATACAAAAAAAGTTTTTAAAAAATCTCAACTATGTAATTTTTTAGTGATATAAAACTGTAGCACTGTCAAGGCCTTCCTCCTATAAACAAATCAATATTATAAAGATACCACTTTTTTGAAATCATATTTTATTCAGCTAGCATCATCGAGTCAAGGCTAACCTAACAAACCTTTCCTATCACATCAAGCATGATTCCTACAGGTTGCTCCCTTCATTCATTCATTCGCTCACTCAATAAATACATATTTATTAGGGAAAACATCACTATGTGTCTAGCACTGTGCCGCATGTTCAATAAGGAACAGAAATTCCCAACCCACGACCCATTCGCTGAATTTGGTTCAAAGAGCTGGTTTTTAACCAATGTTTATAGTTACTTAAAACTAATTTTAATTATGGACCGAAATTTTAAGATCAGGATATTTTATATCAAGTCTATGAACCTGGTTTGTCTGAAGAATTAGGATTCTTGACAACCCAACCCCTAATCTCCCCACAAATGGCTGGAGCTGAGAATCCTGCTTTAGGTGGAGAAAGAGCTTTCCCATTTGTCTTTGTTAATAATTAATGTTAGCTAACTGGTCCCATAGACACTTTTTATTTTCTGCTTTAGGTTCATTAAAAAAAAAAATACCCAGTCTTTATCCTCAAAGAACTTAGAAATGATTAGTTTTGACTCTGATTCTCATATTTTCTTCAACATAATTTTGATTATTAACTATATTAATGTATTTTTATAGGGATTCACCCCCTTACAACCAGCCTCTCATCTTACCTTGTCAACTTTGTGATATTGTTATAACCTATTATCTCAACTTAAGTATCTCAGGTACATTAGTTACTTCAGGCAGAATTTGACATTTAAGTGATAAGTCACTAACAAGAAATGTTTCATTGATTATACTGCACAATTACTGTATTTCGTCTGACTTAAAAACAGCACATTGTGTAACTCTGCTTCCATTAACATAATTCTTTCATGGGTCTGATTAGCAATAAAGCAATTTCAAATAAAGGCAAATAACTCCAATTCTGAAAACAGCTAGCTTTAAATTCAGATCATTTTACCTGTAAGTAATCTTCAGTAGCTTTTGTCTGTCATCCCCAGTTTTCTCCAGCGTAAAATAGAATCAATAAGTTTTTTACTAAGTAGGATTGTTGGTGTATTAAATGAGATATTCAATGTGCAAAACGACCTCAAAATGTTCTATCACATCATGGTCTCTTGATAATCCTCCATTCTTTTCATAACCTACCTCACACAGCCCTTTGTCCCTTGTGATATGGAGGTGAAGTCCGCATTAACACATTCTGCACACTCCTTCACAAACATTACTCATTTTTGCTTTATATATTTGAGATTACAATGTGCAACTCATAAAATTATAGTCATAGACATCAATTTTATCATGTTATATCACAAAATTGGGATTTTATGATAGCATTTGTTTTCTTAATGGCCTTGAATTGACAATTTGTCATTTTATATCTTTTTTGGAGAAAAATAGAAACCCATCAATAATTTAAACATCCTTTTAGTTCCTTCACCTTTCACATTCTTAAAGCAAGTTAAACAGCATAACTTGATTTTACTTGACTACATTACTAGAAGAGGTCAATAAAAATATAAATGAGACAGTATATAAAATATGAACATCTATTTCTACTTTTATTTTTTCTTTGAATCAAAATTTTTCTTGCTTGTATTCTGGCTCAAATAACAATGAATGATACTGATAAATTCTATTTTTCAGTCAACAGAATTGGTTTACAAATCTTAGATTCTGAGAAACATCTCAGTAATAGAATCAGCATATGAATGACACTAGGGTATGTTGCAAAATGAATCAAATTTTACTTATTTTTGTAGAAAGTTTAAACCTTTTCATACATTTTTTTCTACCAAAAACAGCTAAATGTCTCACTATAAAACACAGAGCTATCAAAGTAGAAAATTTGTTTGACACAAACCATGTTTTGACAGATGAAAACAAAAACATTAAATTATATCTTGTCTACCACCTTAATATAACTTGATTCTTAATATATAAAACTTACCTAGCATTTAATGACATTCAAAATAAAAATTGTATCACTTTCTGTTACTTTCTTGCTTTTTATTCTAAGACTTTGCATCGCTCCACCAACTAATAGTACTATAATTAGTATATCATCATATTTCACCTGATTTAAATCATAAAAATTTTAGGCATTCCTGCTAAACTCTTACAATAATCAGCTTTATAGACATTATAAAGTGCTTCAATTTGCAAAAAATATTAATCCATCTAATTTTTTACCGTTCATTTCACATTTACTTGTATCAGAAATGTACATTTTTTTTTAAATTTAAAAGCTATTTAGCAGCATGGTCTAATTTTAAATGTATGCATTTATAGACATACAAATGACAAAAATTATACACCAAAATATTTAAAGAAGTTATATTTATTGGTGGTATTCTTAGCTGAATAACTCATGTAATATTAAGACTACTTAATTAATTTCTAGCAAAATAAAATTTATAAATAATATATCTTATCCCAAAATATAAGGAAATGTGCAAAATAATTGGTTAGACTAAGATAAGCTAAAACAATGTATTTGAGAATTTCCTAATATATGGCTAAGTTTTTGTTATATAAGGCTTCTTTAGTGACCAAAAGAGTTTTTAAGATTGTATGTATTTCAAGACCCTCATTGTGTAAATGAGAAAAATTAGGCACAGGGTAATAAGATACTTTTGTGAGGCATAATTTCTTTGCATAATTAACAAAAAGTAAATGAAGATAATTTTAAAACTTATAATAATCAAGTTGAATGCACTTTCTATTTTTATTTGCTATATATAGCCAATGTGGTTTATATCTACCTTACTAGCCATAAACTGTTGTTTTTATTTTTACTCAGTCAAGAGAAAAGGCTTTGAATTCAATCTATCATTCAAAAAAAGTTATGGGATTTATAAAATAGCACATGAAGATTACTATGATGATGATGAAAATTCCATATTCTATCACAACCTGATGAACTATGAGTGTGAAACTACAAAAGACCCTCAGAGAGACAACCGTAACGTCTTCAATGCTATAAAAGTAGAAATCAGCACCACGCCCTCTCTGGACAGCTCCACACATGGCGGCATCAATAAATGCACAAATACTGATATTACAGAAGCTAAACAGGATTCCAACAACAAAAAGGGTGCGTTTTCTGACAAAACAGGAGGGGATATTCACTATGAAGAAACTACCTTTTCTGAAGGGCCAGAAAGAAGACTGTCTCATGAAGAGAGTCAGAAACCAGATATTTCAGACTGGGAGTGGTGTAGGAGTAAATCAGAAAGAACCCCTCGTCAGGTACAGTAAAGATTGTTCTTGCTGTTAAAAAGGTGATACTAAATGTGATATTCATGAAAAACTTTATCAGTTGTTTATTTTATTCAATCTAGTCCAACATTAACTTCACTTACCTCAATTAATTTCCATGATATTTAATTTTATTTCAAGGTGTCTTTTGAAGAACTTTTTAATTCTTTTAATCAGTTTAAAATCTATACATTTTATAACAGGAAGAGTTAAACAGGCTCTAGGGCATTCTTTTTTAACCTCAAGTAACCTGCAAAAATTCAGATTAGATTCTCAGAACTCACGGTTCAAATTAATTTAGTTTGTAGATTTTATTTTTCCCTCCTCCATTCCAAAGGTATCTCTTAAGTCTCCAAGGGAAGTTTTTTTTTCCATGTAAAGGCAAATATTTATACAACTTGCAGTGCGAAGTGTTGTTCTGTTGAAAGTATATTAGGCAGCTTGCCTATCAGTCTTACTAGAACTAATCCCTCCAGTACCCAGCAAAAAAAAAATTAATCCAGAGTACATTCAGGTGAGCATTTGCAAGCCCTTATGAATGTTCCATCTCCTTAAATATGGAAGAATGGTTTTATAGTATTTTATAAAGCTAAAAGAATTTGCATTTGAATTTCTCGTCCTTTCCTAAATTTCAGCCTTCCTAAAATGGTGAGGGATCCTTCTCATTTATTGAAATGGCAGTATGACATTGATATGAGATTTCTTTCTTTCTCCAAGCTTTCATATGTGATAATTAAATTGCCCTTGCTTTCCACACTATTGATTTCCTAGGAAAAAGGAGTCTTTTTTCTACATGAGTTAATGGAAATCAGAATCTACATGCACCTAATCTCTGGAATCAAAAGCATTATTTTAGAAATACATTGATAGGGATAATGTATTCATTGATCAAAAGTATGATCATATAACACGAACTATAAATATGAGCAGAATAATTTGAGATTTTCTTTATTCTCATTAAGTAAAACTACTAGTCTCCTGATATCATTGTTTTTAAAGTGAGTTGAATAGTAAAAGAAGGTGTATGAAATATATTATAAGAAGAAATAATTGTGCATATTGTTTAGAGATTAGAAATCAAAGGAAAATATGGAAAATATCACTAAATATTTGTCATAAATTAAATAATACAGTAAAAGGTGGAGGCCAAAGAACACAACGCACCATATGTTTAGAAAAAATGTTTTTTCCCAACTAAGAGGGGAATTCCGACACTTTCATTATCAATTTGCTCCTGAATAATCTAAACCTCTTAGTCTTGCACTTAGAAATTGTTTTAAGTTATGTTCATAATGAAGCGAGTGTGTGTGTGTGTGTCCATCCCAATAACTTGTAACTACCTTCGGTGCTAGTCACCTATATCATCCGCGTGATTAACCCTTACGGATTACAGCTATCTTGAATCTTACTCATATTTTTGTTACATTCTTTTATCACAAATGTATGTACTTCTAACATAACACATGGTTTAGCTTTGCTAATTTTGAGCCTTCTAAAGATGGTATCATGCTGTATATAGTCTTCTGGGGCCTGCTTTTGTTCATTTAACATTGCTGAGTAGCTCAATTTTCTTATTTATTTCATCAAAACAGTTGGAATTATTATCTAAAATACCACAACTAAACGCCTTCATTTAAAAGCCTTGGTTATAGTTTGGAAAGTGGAGTCAAATAACTATAACTAGAACATGAATAACTGTAACTAGAATGTGAAAAAATCAGACACTGTTTGCACATAAGAATGATGAAGAACAACTTACCCACAATCTTCTTTAAATCAAAAATTAAAATGATTTATGTAAAGTATAAAACTTTGATCAATCCAGATATCTTTCAGCTATAAATATTGGCTTATTAAATATAGATATTTAAACAACTGTAATGATCAAGTCTTTCAAGAAACTTCTCTGAAATGGTCACCATGAAAAAAATGATTAGAGGTAAGATAGATAATACAATATTCTGGAAAGGTAAAACTTTTTATTTCCAGGAACTAATTAAAATTAAATAAAATACTATCATAAATTTTAAAACAACAGGAAGAAATCCTAAACTGCAGATTGACATTTTTTGTATAACCTTCCCTTAGTAAAAGTACCTGTGATCTTTAAGGTTAGCCTCAAATACAAATACAAAATTTTAAATTAAAAAAGTGTTTTAAAGCACAAAGTTAAAAATGTTCACATTGTAATTTAAAATGTTAGCAAAAAACACATTTAGGACTGAAAATCTTATGAGAACTTTTCCTAAGACCAAAACAGCTTTTAATTCTTACCCTTTTCTTCAGCAGCAAATATTACATGGAAGTGAATGATGACTTAGAAAGGACTTTCATTTTTATCTTTTTCTTCCCAGTGCCGTTTGTTGCGCTCAGCTATGTTAACATATGTATCTTATATAGTGATGCATTAAACTGTGTGGTAGACACTGCAGTTACTCTATAAAAACTCTACTTCTTTTGATTGTTTTATGGTAGTACTTTCAAACATTTAGGCTCAATTTATCAATTTGTGTCTAATGGTACTACATTTAATAGTATGTGTTCTTGGGATTTTTTAAAAAGCAGATTTGATTTTAAACATATTTAGTGAGTTCTCCTTTATTTGCACAATATGCTTTGTTTAATTTTTTATTGAAGTTTATGTTAACAATTCTCAGTATATTTTCTTGGAAGTCCTGGTAGGAGTTAGACTATCATCACATCAAGGTTAAGGTGTAGAAATGATGGTAATAGAATGGCTTCAGTAGATTTAAATGTGATCCAATAAAATTTACAAGAATTGAAGGTATTCATAAGACTGAAATTCAGTTTTAACCTGGTCATGTAATTGCTTCTTTTTGAACACCTAATAAGTAGAAATCTAAGCAGTTTACCATTTTGAAAGTTCAGAAGGAATAGTCAGAAGTGTCAGAGATTTTCAGTTAGAAAGTCTTAATGTGATAGCCACTGGTATGACTCTTTCTGAAATGAAATGATAATTTTCTAGAACCCCAAATTTTGTCATCTATGAATAAAGAAAATTAGACTTATAAAATAATTGACTGGCCTGTGGGTGATCACTCTATTTTCTCTTTTAATACTAAGTTCATAAAGTTACCCTGGATTCCATTTTCTTTCCTTTTAATGTTCTGTTTTAGAGTTCCAGAAACTCACTCATTTATTTTTGTGAATCAAAAACATAGATATTCTGAAACTTTTAATCTATTTACAATCCTACCATTATAGGATCTGTAAGGCACAAGGTCCTCCTTTTTGCCAGCAGGATGTTTTAAAAACAGATTCTGAAACATTCCCTCTCAAGTCGCCTGAGAATCAAGGAAATTTTATTTTCATTTTAAGGAAAATGTTTTAGCTGTCTAAAAATAGTTTTCTAAAGTTATGTTGTATCAGTTGTTAACAGAGTTTAGTAGCAGTATTGGTTTCTGTACTATTTTTAAAATATTATTGTTTATTTAAGTAATTTTCATAGGAAACTACAGGATCCAAAAGCTAGCTAGACTATTTTGAGTTCTTTAGATCAGAGCCTCTCAGGCTTTAATGTGCATACTAGTCAAATGGGTATCTTATTAAAATGTGGATTTTGATTGATTAGGTATGAGATGGGATCCAAGATTCTCCATTCGTAATAAGCTTCCAGATGATTTCTGTACAAAACCAAGATCCCACCTCAGACCTACAGAATCAAAATTCTGTAGGTTAATATACACATTAAAAATTTAAAAGCACTGCTTTAGATTCTAATTGCTAGAGAATGGGCATGAGTTTGAAGTGCAGGGCAAAATTAATTCTTTCTGTTTAAGATATGACCCATTAAGTATAAAGCTGGAAAAAAATACTCAATACACATATCTCTTTCCTCTTCCTAAAAACTGTGCATCTTTTCTTTTCACTTTAAAAAACAAACTATTTTAAAAATGAGGACAGCATATTGCTGTTTTCTGTGACACTATTAGCTTAAAATGAAGATGCCTAAACTTGTCTGAGTAATTTCTGACATTTTAACTGAAATGATCATACTAGAAAAAATTCACTTAAAACCTATTTATAGCCTCCACCTGGTCATCTTAACAGAAATGATCATCTGGAATATACTTTAATTTTGACTACATTCATTTGTTTGAAGTGCTTAGTTTATTGCTCGCTGCTCAGAAACTGGAAAATTTGCTACACTGCCTAGTTTTTATAAAAGTATAAACTTTATTGTTTTTATAATTATTAAACTAACTTATAAATACTGTAGAAAATCTAGAAATTGCCAATAAGCAAAGGAAAAAACTCATTTCCACCTACCCAGAGTTAACCACTTTTTACATTTTGTTGTATAAAATATCACGCTCTTTTCTATGCATATATTTTTACTTTTGACAAAAACAAACAAACAAACACAGTCCTGCTGTATGTACTGCATGCGCTCTGCTTTTCTCCACTTAACAGTGTAACTTTAACCTCAATTTAATTGTTTCATCCCTTTGTGTCATTATCTCGTGTAGTTTACAGTGGCTATTTGAAGTGTGGCTGAAAACTCATCCATGAATATAAATTTGTTCTCAAGTATATAAAATCTTGGAAGTTGAACCTAAGGGAATTGTATTCTAAACTACTTCAGATATTTCATAGTACATTTTGTGATCCTCACAGCATGCATCATTTTGCCACAATGAGTAAAAATAGCTCTAACTGCTCACGTTCTACAAATTCAAGGGAATTAGCATTGGATCAAAGCTTGCATTGAATCATATATTTACCTGTTAGCTAAGAATTCTGTTAACATTCTCATAAAAGTCTCCTGGCTTATGAAACCTAAAAGATTGTGTACTGAAATGACCCAGCTGTGGCTTAAATCTCTTCTTGGTTACTCTCTACTTGAACTCAAGTAACTAGGAACTCACTGTATTTTAAAAACTTTTTATTGTGAACTAATACATGACCTACAAAACAGTTGCAAAAAATAGTACAGAGTTTCAATATATCTTAATTCAGTTTCCACTAAC